GGTCACGAGGCTTCGTCGTTTTTGTCGATCCGCCGTTACGGCATTTGTTTCTTTTCTTTTTTTTTCTCTTTCCTTTCTTTTCGGCGTGTTTGTGCTACTTCCGCCCCAGCCCCTATCGTTGGTTGTATCGGATGGTTGCTTTGTAATACAAAGCGGGGGGAAACCTTTTTTCTTAACCAATGTTGCTTGTAGGAGTAAATTGGGGGCGTCTCTAAATTTTGTAACATCTTGTTTTAATTTAGCAATTTACTATGCTTATTCATTTGACCTAATTTGGGATATTTTAACCGAATTTAATGTCTTTCAAGTTTGAAGGCTGAGCGGCATCTTGTATATTTTGGTGTGCTTAGTTCTCTTATGAAGCGATATATTGCTAATCGTAAATGTATTTTGTGATCAATATGGGTAATATAAGTATAAATTTTCCTGAAGGCTACAAGTTCTTGTTTGTTGAAATTGGTTTTTTCTTGTCTTTGCCCCTCCTCCCCCTAGATTCTTGTCAAGCTCCACCACTAGGAGCAAGAGTCAAGGATGGTGATGGCTCGAACGCAGAGAATGGAGGACGAACACGGGAGAATGGAATTTGAGGTGAGTCCGGTCCGTTTGACAAGGCGGACATGCCCGGGGCTGTCGGGCTTCCTCATGTCCGCTTCAGACATGGGCTAGATATGAAGGATGCCGATCAGTCCAACCCTGACAGTATGCATGGATTAATTAACTAAAAGATTCCGTAGCATCCACACACCAGTTTCCTTTCGGAGTCAGAAAGTACGGCGTACTGAATGTCATTCTTGTGTTCTCGAATGTCTAATGACAGTGTTTACGTAGCTACTCCCTCTATTCGGAATTACTTGTCGTAGAAATGGATGTATCTAGATGTATTTTAGTTCTAAATACATCCATTTCCGAAACAAGTAATTCTGAACGGAGGGACTATTTTCTGAGTGACCAATCACGAAATCGCAACCCAACCGGCCTCTCAAACGGGGGTTGGTGAACCATGAACCCTGTGTACAGTAGGTTCATTAGCCGGTACAAAACTACAGGTCATATATCTATTGCTTGTGTGATTGCAGCTGCATTATTTGTAGGCCAGCCACCTTTTTCAAGTGAAGCCAAATAGTGTGGCAACGATCATCGACCGCTATCACTGTACGCTATCTGATGGAGTAACAGAAATGATGGAGTTGGATCCTTTGAAAATAGATGACTCAATTTCGTACTAACTTTAGTACAAGGTTATTACAAAATTGGGTCATTTATTTTGAAAAGGAGGGTGTAGTTTGCAATCGGTACATCATTTTTAAGCCTCCTATCCTATCCTAGATACTCATGGTGAGTCCTGTTACTCCATCATTTTCTTTGATGCAATAAACATATATATGATCTGTCCATCCTCCATCATTTCTGTTTACAGTGGTGAGGAGACAAATGAATTTGCAGGGTGGGCCTGAGAGATATGTCACTTGTCAGCTGGATGTAGTAGCAGGATTTCAATGCCCTCCTCCTCGTGTGCCATTGCCATTTGCCAAGTTGCTTCCTCTCTCAGGGACCAACGGCATTTTTTTGAGGCCAACAGGGACCAACGACAAGTCATGATACCGGTAGCTCATTAATATTTCGGCAATTTGTGCGTGACCATCTTGGCCCAGTCCTCCCATGCATGTGTGCAGATATGCAATCTCTGTCCAGTTGCTCGTTGTGGCAATCTAGCAAGCAAGAAGGAAGGCTTTACACGAGCAAAATTTTCGGAGCCCGCAATCAACATATGAGTACATAAATTGAGTTTTGATATTTGCACATGTTTTATTTATTTGGAACACATGAGCATTACTTCTATGACGAATAAATATTTTGTTATTGTTTTTTGAAAAAATGAATCATTAAGTTAATTATTCATTTTTTTGAAAGGGTTTCTTTTTTTAATACTTGAATGTTTTTTCATGATAATTTTTACATCATAGATTTTTAAAAAATATATGAACAATTTTAGTACATAAACAATCATTGCATTCCTTTCTTTTCTTGTAGTTTTGTCCTCTATTATTTCTTTTTTGTTATGTTTATTTCCCCTTTTGTAGGGAAAATGTCTGATTTTTGTTTAAACTTATACTCCCTTCGTTCCCAAATACTTGTCTTTCTAGGCATTTCAAATGGACTCAACATACGAATGTATGTAGACATATTTTAAAATGTAGATTCACTCATTTTGCGCCGTATGTAGTCACTTGTTGAAATCTCTAGAAAGACAAGTATTTAGGAACGGAGGGAGTATATGCAAATGTCTGATCTCAGTACATGGACATTTTTTTGTGGGAAAAACTTCCGATATATTCATCTTCTTTCAAGGGAGTACAAGAACACTATAAGTAAAAATTACACACAGACCGTAGAAGACATAGGCCGTAGAAGACATAGCGACGACTACAAACACTTGAGCGAGCAGAAGACACGCCACCGTCATCGCACCTCCCTCATCGGAGACGGGCAAATCATGTTATAATAGACAGTCGAGAAGTCGTCGTGCTAAGGTCCAGGAGGACCACCACACCAGAATAGCAAGCATTTGACTGTGAGATGAGTATTTCATGTCAAATAACCAGCATTTATGTTCAGGTAAGCGGTCATTTTCAGTTTTACAGTACATAATTATTTTCAATTTCTAAGCCGATATTTCCTGATAATAGGAATTTTATTAAATATGAATACAGATAATCACAACATTTTAAATATTCATAAAGAATAAGAATAGGAATGAATCTGCTTGAGGCGCTACCCTTATTGCTCGCTTAATAAAGCAACAAATAGGATGGCCCCTCTAATTACTCATCAGCCACAGTCGATACTGATCAAGCGCGCAAGAGGGTCGCCGTCACTTCCCTGATAATACAGCGCGCTGATTGATCTGCCCCAATTTGGGATAGACGTGGCTAAAGCTAGAACCGACTGTCGTTGTCGCTCTAACCGTTGGCCGGACAGAATACGTATGTGTGTCACGACAATGATGTGCTGATTGATTTATAATTTACCAACGATTTGCGTCATCAACACACTAATGCATGTGGCAGCCAAAACCAAAACTCTATCCTTCAAAAAAGCCAATATTCTAGTGTGTCGGCCTCTTCCGCGCACACGTTTGCACTACGCTAGGCACGTACCATGCATATGCATAACTCAGGAAACATTAAGGGCTCCTTTGATTCATAGGATAGGAAAAGTGGAGGAATAGGAAAAATAGAGGATTGGCATGCCCTGTCCACATGAATCCTATGGGAATGGAAAACACAGGATTTGGCACAAGTGCGTGTTTGATGGGAGCATAGGAAAAACATAGGAACTCAAGGCATTATAATATTACTATTTTGAAGGCTGTGCATTCAAACAAGTAGCCGTTGGTCACTAAACTAGCCAATTAAGTAGTTTACATTTAAACTTGTGAAGTCATGATAACTCAGTAATTTTTCACAGGCTTGTTTTCATAGCGTCCAATGGATCCTAGCTACTGTCGCAGAACAAAGAGTGAGGATGAGTTTGCTCTTTTTGTTCTTCCTACTTTAGGAGAACACTCATATTCCTCAAGGAGACCTATGCACACTTCAATACTCACAGGCGCACGGCGCGTAAATGAAATTTTAAATGGACATGAAGACCTATGCAAAACGCACTTCAGAATGGAGACTGATATATTTCAAGCTTTGGTTCAGAAATTGCGTGAGAATGATCGCCTTGTTGATGGAAGAGATGTCTCAGTAGAATGCAACAAATGATACTTTGGCAGATTGGTTTCAGCATAGTGGACAAACAATCAGTTACTATTTTGGTGAAGTGCTCAGTGCAATTACTGAACTCTATTCTGTATACATACGTCCACCTTCCCTACACCCGCATCCAATCTTGAGTAAAGAAAAGTTCTACCCTTTCTTTATGGTATGTATAAATGCTTATGGTCAAGTTAGAGTAACATAATTTCAAAATTTTACAGAGAAGATTATATGGCTTATGTACTTGTATTTATGCAGGATTGCATCGGCGCTATAGATGGTACACATATTCCATTGAAACTACCTGCTGATGAGCAAGAACCATATCGCAATAGGAAGCAAACATTATCGCAAAATGTTATGGTAGCATGTGATTTTGATCTGAAGTTTGTGCATGTGCATGCTGGTTGGGAGGGATCGGCTTCAGATGCAAGAGTCCTACATGATGCACTTAACCATGGTTTTCAAGTACCCCCTGGAAAATTTTACCTTGTAGATGCTGGTTATGCAAACACACCACAATTTTTGGCTCCATATCGTGGTACTAGGTACCACTTACAAGAACAAGGAAGAGCTCGCCAAAGGCCAAGAAATTACAAGGAATTATTCAACCTACGACATGCACAACTCCGAAATCATATCGAGAGGATTATTGGTATACTAAAAATGAGATTTCCGATATTGAGAGTGGCTTCACATTACTCGGTGACCAAACAAATTGACATATCAGTTGCTAGTTGTGTGCTGCACAATTTCATACGTTTGCATGATGGAGATTTTTCATGGCCTGAGAATACTACTGTGGAGATTGATCAAGAACAATTTGTTAATGTGCCAAGTGGAGACCACAACTATCACAATGATATACATGCTTTTAATTACTCTAGAGAAGCTGGGAATCAAAAACGAGATTATATAGCACAGCAAATGTGGGCACAATATGTATCACGAAGATCTCAGAATATGTAATATTTTATCCAAGTTCTGCTACCATTCATGTACTTGAAATATGAGATGCAAGTTGTAATACCATTCTTGGACTTCATGCTTATGATCAAGCTAGTTTTGCTGCATGCCTAACCAAAAGTCTCTCGACATACCTACCAAAATATACTAAACCATCATGGTCAGTTCTATGACCAATTTAACTAGACAAAAGTATATGACACCCACAGATCAAAAGCTTCCCTAAAATATGACATCTGATCATAGTGGATCACCACCAGTCCACCACAATGGCTAATTTTGATCATTTGTTTGGGCACGTGCAATCTCTCTTTTAAGCCAAGCCAACCGTAGTTCATTAGTAGAGTAGGACAAGAAAACTTCCCTGTTCTCCTTACATTTGAAGATATCTGATGCCATCATCATATCTCCTAGTTGTAGACCTTCCAAGCCTTCAATTGTTGTGATACACTTGTTGATGCTGTAGGGGTCCTCTAGCTTCTTCTCCTCAATGGCAGCAAATCGATCAATTTCTTCCTTCTTCAGTTTTAAATACTTCTCATGGAAGTCATCAGTAGCACTATGCTTCTGTTTTTTCCCACGCCTAGTGTCATGTTTCTCCATTTGTGTGGATCTTGGAGGGGCTTGCACATGCTGAATAGGTGTAGATAGATGCGGGGGAGAATCCAAGTTGGTTTCCTCAAGTTCTTCATCTAAAGTAAACCGCATGTCCGACTCGCCGGTAACCGGCATAGTAGGTGATGGTGATTGATCGAGATCAGCCATCTGTGTCAACTGTGACAAGGGAACTGGTGCATACTTCCTCTTGCTAGTATAATGGTCCATGCCTTGGCGAGTTCTCCCTTCAGCATAACGACCTAGAGAATAGTTTCAAAGACTTGCTTAGAACAATCAAACATTATATACAAAGTTTAGGCTGCAAGGTAAAATAGCTACAATGGAATTGTGAATATTATGTTGAAGTCACCTTCATAGAGTGGAGCTAATTCTTCATAAAAGGGAAATGATCTTTCTTTCCATTGGAGAGCATCCTTGCTGTTCGTACGAGCAGTAAAGCTTGCCCAAACACTATCAGGTGCGTCTACCATTTTTCTGTCCTTATCCCATCCAAAGCCACTTACATCCAACAACTTTTTCACAGTACGATAGTCTCTCTTCAGATCTTGCTCCTTCTGTTTGACTTGGTTGAGAGTAAATGACTGATCAAACTTTTGATTGAGTTGATGAAGAATATTATTCCATGCCTCCTTGCTCCAAGCATTCTGTGTCCGAAAACCAGGCACATCGTGATCTTTTAGGAGTTTAATAAGGTACAGCTTCATTTGGTGACTCCATTTGGCTCGAGAGTTACCTTTTGTGATTCCTAGATATTCAACATAATTGTACAAATTTAGTTTCTAAATCAGTAACAGATCAAAAAATAAAATAAAATTGCATATCTAAGTTTATCAGTGTCACCGTAACATCAGAACTTACCTATTTCTGGATGAAGACCTGTAGTCCCACCATCAACTTCAAGATCAATTGCACCATTTGACTGCAGATGATGGCCTTGTCGCTCAGACAAGCAACGTCGATCAGCCATCTACATGCATCATATTGTTGGCATACAATTTTTACAGGGCACAAATGATATTTGTTCGGAATAGAATCCTTGAAAAGGGAAATTTTAGTGCCTTGTGCAGACAAAAAAATTACCACGTGATGATCCAATAGCTATAAGAAAATAAGCTCATGCTGCTCATACAGTGCCAAAGAACCAGAGGAAAAGTAAAAATATGGGTACCATCAGGACACAGTCGTGCAACTCAATTGCTAAATAAACGAGCTAGACATTAGCAAATACATAGTGAATTGAGAATTTAGTCAAATCTGAGACCTCTTATTTTGTTACCTAATAGCTGCAAAGAAAATCCCCAAATCCTGAAATAACAAGCTCGATCTAAAAAATCAGAGAGAATCTACAGCAGGTTGCAAACTAATACTAAGCAAATCAATCTAATCTATGTGTATAATACCTACAAATTCATGGGAAATCATGGGAAGCAAAGGAGGATCGGATCTGGCTTTTGGAGTTGCCTCGTACCTTGTTGCTGGACTTCCTATACGGAGGAATAGAAGCAAGGAGGCCGGCCGAGGAGATGACCAGCTGAGCAGAAGGCCAGGCAGCAGGCTGAGGACCTGGGCAGAAGGCCGGGCGGCCGGCCGGCCGTGGCGGCGCAGCACGACTAGGTCGATGTTGAAGGAACTGGGGGGCGGTGCTTCTATTTGCGATGTGTCTTGTGAGAAGTTATGCGAGCGTTTATTTACCGCGAAAACTGAGCGCGCGCGCTTTTTTTCCCGCCAGGATTCTTTCCGAAAGCTTCGACCTCTTGGAAACTTTCCTGTGAAATAGAGAAGGGGAAAATCCATAGGATTGATTCCCAAGGTTTCTATTCCTGTAAATCAAACGATTAGCAGAGGAAAACATCCATAGGATTAGAATTCTATGAAAATCCTACAAAAATCCCATGAATCAAAGGAGCTCTAATTAAGAGAGGGTCTATGAGAGAGACCATGCGTGAAGGGCTAAGGTCAGGATCATAGGACCACGTATTGAAGTAAACTAAACGTAATTATGCAACTAACCAAACCATAGAAATATGGAATTGTGAATTCTAAATCACTTGGATGGGGCCACTGAATTCTGGAATAGCCGATCCATACGTGTCCATGGACCTTCAGAGAGAAACTCAGACAAAACAATCCAGTGGGTGGATGAAATTTAATTCGCTGCTCCCGTCCCTCGTCCCGTCCCTCCCCCGTGCAGCAGCGCCGCCCCGCACCAGGGAGCCCCCACCCTCCTCTTACATCCTCGCCCCTCCTCCGATCCCCTCCTAGACTTCGTGATGGTGGCCTTCTTCTTCATCGGAGTTGGTCGGCCGGCTGGCTGTGCTCGCATGGTCATGCAGTGACCGGCGGCTTGGCCGGTCGGCGGCGGCAGAACTTGGCCGGTGGCAGCGGTAAAGTTCTGTCTGGATCCCGGGGCGGCGGCCCTGGAGGGTGGAGGCCGGTGAAGCTCGGGCTTCCCGCGGCGGCTTGGCGTGGTGCAGTCCCTGTTCAATGAGGATCTGTGACGGCGATCTGCTATGGTTTGGTTCGGATCAGAGACGGCGACGAATGCGCGGGATCGTTCTCGGCGGCTCTCGCGGCTTGGCGAGGCGCGGTGGGAGCCCTCCTCCTAGGCTCCAGTGGTGGCACACTCAGGCAGTGGCCGGTGCGCCAGGAGTCCCACGGTGACACTGTTGCTGCGGTTGGTCGCCGGATCTAGGCGGCTGGATCTGGGGCTTTGAAGGTGGTCGAGACGGTGCACAGGTTGTTGGGTGGATTTCTTGGGACGGATCCGGGTGAAAACCTGATCTTCGGTCGATGGCGAGACGGTGATGACGATGCCCTTATCATCGTTTCCTTCATGAAGGCATCATCGAGGTGAAGCTCCCAACTCCACTCAATACCTACGGGGGAAACCCTAGATCAGCTGATCGGATGTTGGCGGCAATCATGTGTCGTAACCCCCTTGGGGGCGGCATTCTTGGAGGTGCACTCGGCTTCACGGGACCAGCGGACGGCTTCTTTGGTGGAGCGGTGCTTCATCCATACATTGATGGCGACGGTTCTGGACGGCGTGGCGCAGTGCAGATTCGGAGTTCGATGTGGGAGGATGGACTTGCGCAGGAGGACGACGCTGTCTGGTGTCGGGGTGGCGTTGATGGCTGAGATACATGGCACGGTAGATGCAACAGTACAGCTCTGAAGATGGACTCGTGGCAGGTGGCTGTGGCGGCCCCATACCCGGCAGGCGTCCTGGTTGAGGAGTACGCCGGACTGGTAGGTTCCCCATACCAGGCAGGCGTCCTGGTTGGGACCTCAGGTCTTAGATGTTTAGGTTTGGCTGCGATGTCTGTTTGGTATTAGGTCCAGACTATCAGCGCCCCTTCATCAACTGTATAGGTGTAGCGACAGTTGTTGCTTAGACGGTGGCTTCAATCTTACTGTTGTATGACTTTGTAAGGTCTTGTGAGAATAATTAATAAAGTGACCGCATGCATCGCCCAGATGCAGAGGCCGGGGGACGGGGGTCATCCTCCTTTTCTAAAAAAAAATGCAGCATATACATGACCTCCAAAGGGGAAATATCTTGTGCTCCCAACATATACATGCTTCAATGTCTAAAATGTTATTTTAGATATTTTATAAAATTGTGAATGTTCACAAGATATGTGTTTACATCCTTGAAAATTTTCAGATCCAAAATCAAATATACAATGAGGTGAAAAAGAGAAATCTACATGTGAATAGTGCTATTTTTGCTTTTGTCCTCTTGCCACACTATTCATGTTGATTTTGTCTTTTTGGTTTCTCCATGTGTATTTGAGTTTGGATTGGAATGTTTTTAGGGGATGTGGACATACCATACGTCTTATGAACATTCTCGAAAAAATTAGAATATTGTAAAACAGTTAAACAATTTTTTAAAAACATTGATGCATGAGAGCAAGTAGATGTTGGGCGGGTGTAAGCCGAGTACGAAAAATTACTCTGTGAAGGCCAGATATACCTATCTAGGGTTTCTTTGCCTCTCGCCGGTGCCGGCACCGATCCGCCCCGTCTCCAGTGGTCCTTGGACCATGGAGACGTGGTGGATCCTGGCTCTTGCTAGCGGGAGGGCTTCGTTTTTAGGTCTTTTGTTAAGCTTTGTTAGGGTTTGTGCCATGCTCAAGAAAACGAGGCGGCAGCGGTTTCTTGAAAATGGAATAGGGTCCTCCCCGTCTAACCCCCGGTGATGCTTGTAGCATCGCCGGTCTTGGTTCGTCTACGTATGTGTGTTTGCAGGTTGGATCCTTCCGATAATCGCTTCTCTTTATCGGCGGCGCTTGCTGTTCTGATGCGATGATCCTATGGAGTCTAAGCACGATGACTTTCTGACTGTGTACTACAATAATGTTTGCTTGCCTCCGATGAGGGAGGGGCGATGGCGGCGACGCACCTTCGGCTCGTTCCAGTGCTTCTGGTCGTCGCTAGGTGGTCTATGGATCTGAATGTAATTTTTACTTCTGGTATTCTTTGTGCCACCTCTTACTGTTGAGGAATAGACTGAAAGTTTTCACGTAAAAAAATAGATGTTGGGCGCACATGGTATTCTCCCCTGCTTCTAGATAAAATGAAGCAGATACTAGGTGCCTTCAGAGAAAACTAGTAAATGAAAAGCAGACGAAAACCAGCAGCCGTCGTCCTCGTCTCGTTCCGTTTCATTACAGAGAGAGAGAGAGCGCGCGCGCGCTAGAGAACGCTGGAGGCGCGCGTGGCGGAAGCAGACGAGACGGCGATGGTCCGAGCTGCTGCGTCGGCGTGTGCCTGACATGTCTAGCGGCCAGGGCCCACCAGAGTCGTTTCCCCAACGTCACTCTTCTTGGACTCGATCGAGCTACTCGCCGCTGTCATCTACAAAGATGGAAAAAAGAAAAGATGAAGCAAACTTTGAATGCCTTGACAATTTCCACAACCAAGTTTTGAGTCCAACAACCTGTACTGTACTGTTGATTGATCCTCAGCTCGCTGCTTCTCAACGCATGCATCGAGATCTGGAATAATTGTATACGTGTGCAGCAGCAGCAGCTGGAGCGTGTGCAGGGAGAGTAAGATAAGCCTGGATTTGATACGGAGCGCCGATTAGTTTAGGGCACCATAATCTGAAGCTCTGTACGTGTGATTACAGCATCATGATGCAGGCCACCACCAACTGACCAGCCTTACACTTTTTTACTCCCGTGTACACAAGTTTCCAAGACGAATATATCGATCCCCAAAACAAATCAACTGTGTACATTCGTCGTCAAAGGGGAGTACTTGTAACATATTTGTTTCATTGACACTGACAATACTCTCAAATGCGACCCTCAAATCTCCCGCATCCGTTCGGACCGCAGAAACCATCCAACGCGGTCCTTTATCTACCCGCGGTGTAGTCTGGACGTACTTTCTCCCGTAAACCGGACAAGCGTGGGAAGTTTTGTGGGATTCGAGACCACTGTCACGCCCGCTTCTGATCGCCTGCGCCCACTAAAAACCCCTCCTCCTTCCGTGCGCGTTTTTTGCCCGTTGTCAGCTGCCCGCATTCATGCCGTTGTAGAGCGCAGCGCTTCATATTAAAGGTGGCTCAGGGTGGAGGCAACCTTTCACCGCCACCATCGTTGAAGCAGCGCGCCGACCGAGGGTGTCGTCCACTGCATGTCCGGCTGAATAAGCCTCCTCGCCGCATTAAAACGCCTTCATTAAAGCCACGTGGAAGCCGAGAAACCTATTTCGGCCACACTTCGTTCAAGAGCGGGTCGGCATTAAACGCAACACCGGGCAATCTCCTACTGTCCACCCTCTATTTAAACGAGATACATCAGGCAAGAATTGCACCGCCGCTTATCATCTGCTCCTTCCATCATTTTTTCAATCTTTCCATGGCATCCGACGTGCATGAAGAGCAGTTCTCCGGGATAAAAGACGGCAAGGTAGCCAACCGAGCCAGGTGGATACGAGCGAGGTAGCTCGCTGCTCCACCTCCCACACCTAGCACGACGGAGCAACTGTCGCCCCAAGCCGGCGTGTGGTTCAGCAACTCGCTGCTCCAAGCCAGCTCGCGGAGGATAAGCGGGGGAGGTAGTTCGATGCAAAGTGTTGGCCAAATATATCGTCATGGCTTTCTGCTAATGATGCATGTATTGCAGTTGGCTTTTCAATTTGACTACAATACCCGATGTTTATACCAATGGTATGTATCCCCTAAAAATGGAGAATATACCAACGGTAGGGTGCCGGACGAGCCGATGAGGCGGCAGGAAGGGGACGACGGATAGGCGGGATGCATGGCGAGCGAGGGGAGACATGCCACTAAAGCGGCGGTCACCAAATGTTTTGTAAGCTTGCGTGGGCGTACTCACTCAATAATGGGCCGCGCCACGCGATTGCAATGTACGCACGTCCACCATGCGTGGACCATTGCCTGGACCAGATGGCAGATGATTAAGTTGATGCGTAGCGGCAACGAACGAGCAATAATGCAGAGCACTGTGCGTGTCCGCCTGTGTGTATGTGCTCTGGCATAGAGCCATGGAGCTGCTGCGTGTGTGTGTTGGGTGAGGGACCGGCGGCGTCGGGTTTTGTTTGTGCCGGCGTCGGGCTCTGCTCTGCTCCGCGACGTACATACATGTCTCACCAGTCGGGTCCATGCTGCATGCGTGCATGTACTCCCTGAACCCTCGCTGCGGGCACGGTGCATCCCGAAATATCGGATCCAACGGAGTACACAACTTGGATGGCATGCAGCAGGTGCATGCAGCGTACTACGTGCTGGCCATCCATGCTGCAGCTTGCTGCCGGCC